ATTTAATTTAATTAATTAATTTATTTTTTTGAGTTGGAGTCTCGCTCTGTCGCCCAGACTGGAGTGCAGTGGCTGCTCCCGGCCACCACAGCCTCGACCTGCTGGGCTCTGGCGATCCTTCCGCCTCAGCCTTCCAAGTAGCCGGAATTACAGGCGCGCACTACCACGCCCGGCTGATTTTTTGATTTATTGTAGAGATGAGGTCTCGCTGCCCAGGTGGGTATCGAACCCGCAGGCTCAGGCAATCCACTCACCTCAGTCTCCCAAAGGCGCGGGATTACAGGCTGAGCCACCGAGCCCGGCCCCTTTATTTTATTTTAAAGATGTGGAGTACAAGTCAGGATTAGGTACATAAGTGGTCTACGGGCTGGTGAAGTTTGGGCCTCCCACTGGTCCTCACTTCCCTTGGTTTAGGATCAAGTACCCTTAGTGCCCCCTCCCAGACCCCGTTTCTCCACCCCCACTGGCAGTGTCCTGCTACTGCCGCTACCTCGGGTAGAATTGTGATAAATGTTCAGGACCCACTTATGAGTGAGAACATGTGGTGGTCAGTTCTTTGTTTCTGTGATGGATCACTGAGTATGATAGACTTTAAATCCATCCAAGTTGCTGTGAAGTTCATAATTTTGTCCTTCTTTATGACTGTGTGATATTTCATCATGTATATGTACCATATTTTTAAAAATCCAGTCCACTTTCAATGGGCAGCACAGTTCCAGACTGGAGGGCAGTGGCTCACTCACGGCTACCCAGCGTTGACCTGCTGGGCTCAGGCGATCCTTCTGTCTCAGCCTTCCAAGTAGCCGGAACTACAGGCGTGCGCTATCACATTCAGCTAATTTTTTGATATACTATACAGACAAGGTCTCAACAAGTTGCCCAGTCCGAACCCCTAGACTCAGGTAATCCTCTCACCTCAGCCTCTCAAAGTGCTGGGATTACAGGCTTGAGCCATCGCACCCATCCAACGCTAAGCATTTTTTCATGTATCTATTGGCTATTCATATGTCTTCTTTTGCGAAATATCTATTCATGTCTTTGCCCACTTTTTAATAGGACTTTTTTCCTCCTTTCGTCTTGTTTGAGCTCCTTGTAGAGCCTGGATATTAAACCTTTATCAGATACACAGTTAACAAATATTTTTTCCCCAATGTATGAACTGACTCCCTGCTCCTCTTGATGGTTTCTTTTGCTTTGCAAAAATTTTTCAGTTTGATGAGGTCCCACTTTTTTTTTTTAATCTTTTTTATCTTTTTTTTTTTTTTTGAGTTGGAGTCTCACTCTCTCACCCAGGCTAGAGTGCGATGGCATACTCACAGTCACTGCAGCCTCTACCTACTGGGCTTAGGGGATCCTTCTGCCTCAGTCTTCCAAGTAGCTGAAACTACAGGCACGTGTCACCACACTCAGCTAACTTTTTGATTTATTGTAGAGATGAGGTCTCACCAAGTTGCCCAGACTCATCTCAAACCCGTGAGCTCAAGCAATCCTCTCACCTCGGCCTCCCAAAGTGTGAGGACTATAGGCATGAGCCACCATGCGTGGCCTGTCTTATCTTTTATGGCATATGCTTTTGGGATGATGATCAAGAATTGGTTACCTATTCAAAAAAGAATCTGTTTAATATTCTCTCCTTAGCTAGTAGATGGCCATCTTTATGTTCACATGACATTATCCCTTTATGTGTATGTCTCCAAATTTTCCCTTTATTTTAAGTACACCAGTCATACCAGAGCCCACCCTAATCATTTCATATGAACCTTATTACCTCTTTAAAGGCCCTATGAGTTAGGACTTCAACACACAATTCAAGCACTAACAGGTGTTTAAGAAGATATACAAGTTATTACTCTGTGACAAGTCTCTTCACAGCAGCAATCACCAGACTGGAAACCACACATATTTTATTTTTTTAAATTTGATTAACTAATATTTGAATATATTATACAAGATAACACATTCCAGGTGATATTATATCCTGACTTATATCCTTATATCATTTAAAATGTTTTTTCCTTTTTTGTGAGACTAGGAATTTCAAGAGACTAGGTTTTCAAGTTAAAACTCAAGATGTTGGCCAGACTCTGTGGCTCAACCTGTAATCCCAGCACTTTGGGAGGCCGAGGCAAGTGGATTGCCTGAGTCTGCGGGTTTGAGGCCAGCGTGGGCAACTTGGCAAGACCTCATTTCTACAATAAATAATTAGCTGGGCATGATAGTGCATGCCTGTAGTTCTGGTTACTTGGAAGGCTGAGGTGGAAGGATCGCCTGAGCCCAGCAGGTTTACGCTGGGGTGACCGTGAGTGTGCCACTGCACTCCAGCCTGGGTGACAGAGTGATTCCAACTAAAAAAAAAGAAAAAAAATCCAAGGTGTCGTTTTTGCTGTTTTAAAAAACGCTTCCCTGTGAGTTAAAAGATGTAGATCTAGATAGACCTGCTCATTAGAATATCAGATGGTTCCAGCTTGACTATTCCTTTTTTATATGTACTAGTGGTTTTCAAGTTTTTTTTTTTTTTTTTTTGAGTTGGAGTCTTATTCTGTCACCCAAACTGGAGTGCAGTGGCACGCTCAGGGCAACTCCAGCGTTGACCTGCTGGGCTCCGGCAATCCTTTCGCCTCAGCCTTCCAAGTAGCCAGAACTACAGGTGCATGCTACCACGCACAGCTAATTTTTTATTTCTTGTAGAGAGGTGGTCTCGCCAAGTTGCCTGGGCTGGTCTCAAACCTGCGGGCTCAGGCAATCCACTCACCTTGGCCTCCCCAAGTGCTGGGATTACAGGCTGAGCCACCTAGCCTGGCCAACTGAAAATATTTTTAGGTAGATCATATTACATGTTTGGTGATAAGAAGTAAGCTGCATCTATATACCAGTGGTCCCCAACCTTTTTGGCATCAGTTATGTGGAAGACAATTTTTCTATGACCTTAGGGTTTGGAGGATACGCATTAATCTGTATTTGCAACCACCCCCCAGTGTTAGCATCACCATCTCAGCTCTACCTCAGATCATCGGCCATTAGATTTTTTTTTTTTTTGACTTGGAGTCTCACTGTCACCCAGACTGGAGTACAGTGACCGCTCCCAGCCACCACAGCCTCGACCTGCTGGGCCCCGGCGATCCTTCCACCTCAGGGGCATTAGATTTTTACAAAGAGTGCTGCAACCTAGATCCCTAGCATGTGCAGTCGCAGTTCACAATAGGGTTTATGCTCCTATGAGACTTCAATGCTACCGCTGATCTGACAGGAGGCAGAGCACCGCTTACCTGCTGCTTACCTCACACTGTGTGACCTGATTCATAATAGGCCATGGACTGGTACCTGTCTGCTGCCTAGGGGTTGGAGAGTCCTGATCTATACCACACCAGATGTCCTGATAACTGGAAAATGTGTCCAACTTTTCTTTGAACTTGACTTTCCCTCTTGACACTGCTCCCTATTGACTTTAAAGCCACAAATCCTTTCAGCTATATAACTAGGTTATGTAAGGTAATATAAACTTGGATATGCATTTCCCAGGGATATCTGCTGTGAAAATTCTATGCTGAAACCACTTCTTGACACTCATGAGATTTTCCTCTTGAAGTAGGAGACTGTATGTGTTCTTTTAAATGATCATAAGACTCTAAGATTTTTTTCATCTTTTTATTTTGTATGTTTGAAAACAATTGAAACACAGACTTTTTTTTAAAAGATAGTATCTTGCTTTGTCACCCAGGCTGGAGTGCAGTGACAGGATCATAGGACACTGTAGCCTTGAACTGGGTTCAAGCAATCTTCCCACCTCAGCTTCCCAAGTAGCTAGAACTACACGGGGTGCCCCACCATGCCCAGCCAATTATTTATTTCTTTTTCTTTTTTTCTTTTGTAGAGATGAGGTCTCGCTATGTTCCCCAGGCTAGTCTCCAACTCCTGGTTTCAAGCAATTCTCCTGCCTTGGCCTCCCAAAGTACTAGGATTACAGGTGTGAGCCACTGCTACTGGCTTTTTAAAATTTTTTGTACAGGAGCAACCCCTTTGGGTCCCCTCCCACTATGGGAGCTTTTCTGTTCTCTCAATAAATCCTGCTTTCTAAAAAAAAAAAAAATTTTTTTTTTTTTTAGAGAGACAGTATCTCATTATATTGCCCAGGCTGGTCTTGAACTCCTGACCTCAATTGATAATCCCACATTGGCCTTCCCAATTCACCTGCAACAAAGCTTTTTTTTTTTAAAATAAGTAAAATTACGCAGTTAGTAATTTTTAGTAAAATTAGGCTGAGATTATAGGTGTGAGCTACTGTGCCCGGCCACACTGAAACATTTTTTTTATTTTTTATTTTGAGTTGGAGTCTCACTCTGTCGCCCAGACTGGAGTGCAGTGGCCACTCCCGGCCACCGCAGCCTCGCCTGCTGGGCTCCGGCGATCCTTCCGCTTCAGCCTTCTGAGTAGCCAGAATTACAGGCATGCGCTACCACGCCCGGCTGATTTTTTTTATTTATCGTAGAGATGAGGTCTCGCTGCCCAGGCGGGTCTTGAACCCGCGGGCTCAGGCCATCCACTCACCTCAGCCTCCCAAAGGCGCGGGATTACAGGCTGAGCCACCGAGCCCAGCACCACACTGAAACATTTAAGTGGGTGACTATATAGTTCATAAAAAGACTGAATGAAAACGAATCTGGCACGCGCCTGTAATTCCAGCTACTCGGAAGGCTGAGGCGGAAGGATCGCTGGAGCTCAGTAGGTCGAGGCTGCGGTGGCCGGGAGTGGCCACTGCACTAGTCTGGGCGACGAGTGAGACTCCAACTCAAAAAAAAAAAACAAAAAACTAATCTGAAACGAAAAGTGCTTGTCAGGGATTTTCAAGCTCTTTTTAAAGTAATTATTATGGAATAATGATTCCTAGAAATGAAAAACAATATGTGAATAATAAGTTACTAGCAGCGGGGGGGAAAAAGAGCCAAACGGAAGTACAAAAAGACAATGTCAAAATGCAACCTTACAAGGCTTATAGCCAGTACACTAATGAATCTACAATGTAATTATATATTTATGCTATTTGACCAGGTCTCTTACGTCCTTTCTCTGGATAAATGTCTTTAAGTACCAAAGTGATTACAAATGAAAAAAAGGCCAATAAAGTGACTGCTATCCTCAGGGCTTTGAACCAGCTGGGATAATGTGGCAAGAGAAAAAGTTCAATGTGTAATGCTAACCCTAAACCTATTATTACTGTGACTATGGCTTCACTGAGTCTTTCAGAAATAAGTAAGGCAAACCATGAAAACACAACAGGACCCATACTATTAGCTAAATTAAGGAAGTCTGGTTTGGCTGGACTACCTTCTGGTAGAGCAAAACCCCATCTGACCCCTCCCAAGAAAGATAGGAAACTAGCTCCATAAGCCATCTGAGTAAAAGCTAATACAGGGATATAAGTCTTTGTCATCAGCATGACCAGTGGTGGAGCAATGAAGGGGATTAGTCCTGCCAGAGTTATATATAATGCTGGCTTTGGGCTCTCGGGCAAGTAAGTGATGGTGCTTGGTGGCCTGGCTGGAAGTACTGTTTGCTTCTGCTTCTTCTTAAAGTTGCAAGGGGACGTATGATAGCACTGGGTCTTGCTCACACACACTAGAAAAGATGAGATAAGCCGAGGCCTTGGAAACAAAGGAGAAAAGTTCTGGTGGAAAGATGTCTTGAGGGAAAGTATATCTGTTCCCCTGCTGGTTCTTAGTCCCATTAGGAAAGGGTACTTCAGCATCTACAAAGAAAATAGAACCAGAAGACAAAGTTAAAATATACATGTTTTACAGATTTCAGTCAATCCCAATATGAAACAATAAAAAACAAAACAAGCAAACAAAAAAATCTGCTTTCTGCTAGCACATAAAACTGTACAGAAAAGTTGAACCAACTATAGAATGATGCCACTGTTGTTAAAAGTATTAAACAAGCTGGGTGTGGTGGCTCATGCCTGTAATCCCAGCACTTCAGGAGGCAGAGGCAAGAGGACTGCCTGAACCCAGGGGTTCAAGACAAGCTCAGGCAACTTGGTGAGACCTTGTCTCTACAATAAATCTTAAAAATTAGCTGAGGCCGGGATTGGTGGCTCAGCCTGTAATCCCGTGCTTTGGGAGGCCGAGGTGAGTGAATTGCCTGAGCTTGCGGGTTCGAGACCCGCCTGGGCA